ATGTTGAAGCCCCCCGTTGCTGTTATATCTGGTGGTGATCACCCCCACAGGCTCCAGATCCATGCTCTAACTTGGCATCTCCGTTTGACTTCTCCACTTAGATTCCTCACACTGGAAAATCCAAACCATAAGTCTCTCTTTCTTCCGAACTTGTTTCCTACCTGTCTTCCCCAGGTCCCTAGTTTCTCAAGTCAGAAATCTCGGAGTCTTGAGAGAATGGCACTGACATATATGCACTACCTCGTGTAACATAGGTAGCCAGTGAGAACCTACTGGAAAGATCAGGGTGCTCAGCTCGGAGCTCTGTGATGACCTACGGGGTGGGGTGGGGGAGGGGAGGGGCTTAAGAGGGAGCTATATATGTATATATATAGCTGATTCATATTATTGTACAGCAGAAATTAACAGAGCATTGTAAAGCGACTATACTCCAATAAAAAAAATTATTGGGATGCTGGGAAAGATTGAGGGCAGGAGGAGAAACAGAACGACAGAGGATGAAACGATTGGATGGTACCACCAACTCAATGGACATGAGTTTGAGCAAACTCCAGGAGACAGTGAAGGACTGGGAAGCCTGCCGTGCTGCAGTCCATGGAGTCGCAAAGAGTCAGATACGACTGAGCGACTGAACAACGAGCAGCAACAAAAAAAGAATCTAGGCGTCATCCTTGAGTCCTCCCTTTCCCTCAGCCCTCTCGTCCATTCCGTAAACCGCTGGGAATCGACCTCCACAACGTCTCTGGAATCCATCCTTGTCTCTCCACCTCCTCCGATGCCCCCGGTGGCTGCCCAGTGGCCTCTCCCCTGCAACGGCTCCTGGATGGTCTCTCTACTTCCTCTTCCCCTCGCCCCTACCCCTGTGCAGCCCAGTCCCTTCTCCACCCAGAAACAAGAGAGACATTCTTTAAATGGGTCACTTAGAACTGCTTGGAACTCTCCAATAGCCCACCATAATTCTTGCCCACGGTCAACTAGGCCCTTCATGAACTGGCCCTACCTATCTCTGCAGACCCACATGGTGGACTCTCCCCTGAGCTTGCCTCAAACACACTGTCAGTGTCCTGTGGCTGCTGTGACAAATGATCACAAACTTGGTGGCTTCAAAATGACAAAAACTGGACCTCCCTCAGTCCAGAGGGCTTCCCTGGTGGTTCAGAGAGTAAAGAATCTGCCTGTAATATAGGAGATTGGAGTTCGACCCTTGGATTGGGAAGATCCCCTGGAGAAGGGAATGGCAACCCACTCCAGCATTCTTACCTGGAGAATTCCATGGACAGAGGAGCCTGGCAGACTACAGTCCAAAGGGTCACAGAGAGTCAGACATGACTGGGTGACTAACACACACGTGGTCCAGTGGTTAAGAATTCGCTTTCCAATGCAGGGACACAGGTTCGAACCCTGGGGGAGAATCCCACATGCCACAGGGCAATTAAGCCTGCACACCACAAGTACTGAGCCCGTGCTCCCAAGAGCCCGTGCTCTGCAACAAATGAAACCACTGCAATGAGAAGCCCACTCGCTACAAGAGTAACCCCTGCTCGCCACAGCTAGAGAAAGCCCATGCGCAGCAATGAAGATCCAGTACAGGCAAAAAAAAAAATATCCATCTTTTAAAAGATGACGCAAATTAATTCTGTTTAATCCTGGAGGTCAGAAATTCAAAATGGAGCTAGAACCAAGGTAGTTGCAGGAGCACACTCTCTTCAGAGGTTCTGGGGGGAAATTTGTGTCCTTGTCTTTTCTTAGTGACTTCCCTGGTGGCTTGGATGGTAAAGAATCTGCCTGCGAAGCAGGAGACCCAGGTTCGATCCCTGGGTCGGGAAGATCCCCTGGAGAAGGGAATGGCCACCCACTCCAGTGTTCTTGCCTGCAGAATTCCATGGACAGAGGAGCCTGGCGGGCTACTGTCCATGGGGTCACAAAAAGTTGGACATGCCTGAATGACTAACGCTTTCACTCACTCACTCTCGTCTTTTTTCTCAAGCTGCAATCCCTGGCCCACGAGGCCCTTTCCTCCATCAACGCCAACAGTATAGCATCTCACTTCAGTGGTCCCCTTGCCTTCTTCTGGGCCGCCTGCTTTTGTCTGTCATATGAAGATGCTTGTGGTTGCATTTAGGGTCTGCCCAGATAATCTAAGGTAATCTCCCCATCTCAAGATCTGTAATTTAATGACATTTCTTAAGTTCCTTTGCCACATAAAGCAACATTTTCAGGTTCCAGGGATTAGAACCTGGCTATTGTGGGGGAGGGGCATTATTCAGCCTACCACACAGCAAGCTCTCTCCCATGACAGGATCTTTGTACAGCTGGCTCCCTGGGACTGGAATGCTCCCCCTGACCCCTTCCCCCTTTGCATAGCCAGTTTCTTCTTATTTGGAGGCCTGTCACCTCCTCACAGGACCTGTCTCTGACCAACCCCCAATCTGAAGGGTTCCCGCTATCCTGAACCTCTTTCCTAGCACATGCCACAGTAGACCTTATTTTATATATTTTTCAGCTTATTTGTTTTCTGCCTGCCTCTCCCTTTCCCCTCCCCATCAGTGCCTAGAGGATGGGCATGGTGTCTGTCTGTTTTGTTCACATGAATTTGTAATCCAAGATGGTGACATGCAAATGGGCTGCTCTGTCTAACCCTCTGAGAAAGCAGCCCCCTCCATCTTCCTCCTGATGTTCTCTATTTGAAAGAAAGGTCTGGGCAAAACCTGATGCCACCAACAAAGGGAACTCATTTCTATGGGTTTCTATAGCAGTTCTATAGCACTGTTTACAATAGCCAAGACAACCTCAATGTCCGTTGACAGATGAATGGATAAAGAAAATGTGATATATATACACAGTGGAATATTAGCCATAAAAAAGAATGAAATAATGCCATTTGCAGCAACATGGACTGACCTAGAAATTATAGTAAGTCAGAAACAGAAAGACAAATACCATAAGATATCACTTATTAATGGAATCCAGAATATAACACAAATGAACATATCTACAAAACATAAACAGACTCAAGGACACAGAGACCAGACTTGTAGGGGGCAGAGGGTGGGGCAGGGATGGAGTAAGAGACTGAGGTTAGCAAATGTAAGCTATTATATATTGAATGGATAAATAACAAAGCCCTAATGTACAGCACAAGGAACTACTAATAGTTTATCCTGTTAAAAACCATAATGGAAAAAGAGTATGTACATATATGTATAACGGAATCATTCGGCTGTATAGAAATTAACACAACGCTGTAAATCAACCATACCGCAATAAAATAAATTCAAACAAGCAAAGAGAACCCACACACATGCTCTTACTGGGGAGGGGCCCAGGGAGATGCCACAGTATTTAACCAACCAGACATACAGGAAACCATTCAAGGAAGCCGATTCCACCTTGATGAGCAGTCACCTGAGTCCTTGCTAATTAAATTCAGCTAAGAATTACTTCACCAAGGCCTACCCATGAGGCTGCTTGCAGAGAACTGTTCCCCAATCTTCTCCATCCTTCTCCCCTGGAGACACTTGGAGAGAATGGAGGGAGGCCCAGGGGCCTGCTTGCATCTCTCGCATTTGTGTTTCAGCTGGGACACTGTGAGGTTCCTCTATAGCTTAAAACTCCGGGCTGGGCTAGACTTCTCTAAACTGAAGCCAACTGTGTTTTGATTGCAAGGCTATTTCTAAACACGGCTTGTGCCTCAAGCAATCAATTATCTGGTTGAAACATCTTGTCTCCTCCCTTCAAGGAGAAAACTGTGCTTTGATATGTGATAATGGTCAGAGTATTTTTAAATACTTCATTGTGTTTGGTCACAATGAAGATAGCTTTGGTGACTCAATAGTTTTATCCTCCGGGATTATTTACAGCATAACATTCATAGTCATGTTTGTTTGTTTTTTTTAATAAAATCATGAACTAGGGAGAATAAAACAAAGTGGTTTATAAATATTAACCAGTTCTTCACAAATAACAGTGTTGAAAATAATAACACTCGCACAGCACCTAACAGTTTACAGAAGCTTCTGAAAAACTCAGAGAAAAACATCTGCGTTATAAGGAAGGGCCTTTGATTTTACCTGTAAACTTTTGATCTATAACTTTATATCCTAAAGCGGCCTGGCACAAACAAAACCAAACCATCTCTTATGAATATATTTTGGAAGTCTGCCACCAGAGTTCAGTTCACAGGCCTCGGAGACCTGGTGGGGCTGTTCAAAATTCTGGCCTAGGTTAATTTTAAAAGTTGCATTTGGATAAGGAGTTGTTCCCAAAGGTTTAACTGAAGAGTAATTGATTTCTACTGGAAATAATAGTCCAGTTGTTGGGCAGTCATATTTTTCTCGAAACCCTAGAATGTCTTGAGGAACACATATATGTCACCTGTCCCCTTTTGATACTGCCTTAAGTTCCAGAAGGAGAGCAGGGTAAGCTGTAGCCCCTCCCACCCCGGATGTGGGGAGGGTTGAGGGGGATGGCAGGGTGGGAGCAGGGCCAGGGTACTAAGTTAAGATCAAAGGTGAGAATGCCTACATTCTGAATCTCAACCACAGAGGAAGTGCCATATGTAGGGTCCACTACGAACCAGACGTAGAGAACAACCTGATGCATGACCATGAGCTGAGACAAAGCGAACAGTTGCTTCCTGAATATCCCTCCCCATGGGGAGCTCTCCACACCCATAACTACTCAGTGGCATCCGTGGGCCTCACTGACCCATGTCAGCGTGACTTGAGACCAGCCCCATCCTGTACAGGCAGGCTGCCCCTCTTCAACATGCCAGGATTGAATCTTGGCAAGAAGTTGATGGCAAAGGTGGGCTTCAGTGAAATCTACTCCACAGGGCACGGATGCGCCTTCCTCTGTGAGAACAAAGGTGACCTATTGGGTTGGCCCTGGGCAGGTCCAGGTTCCCTCTGAGTGGGCTGTTCTCAGATGTCGTCCCATCCTGGGGTCCAAACCCATGGCCTCCTCCTAAACACACTGAGCTGAACGCTGGCCCGGAGACATCAGAGCAAGAGTCTGGTATCCTGGTGGCTGAGTTTCTCAATTTCCTCCGGAGAGAAAGTGTTTCCTCGGAGCCTGAAGGAGATAAAGCCAACAGAGGTTTGAGTGAGGACCAGACCAGAGCCGTGCTTTCGATCAGGAAGCTGCTGCTTTGTAAACCTGTAAACCTGTGCCTGGATGGCCTGCCCCTCCCCACCCCCCACCCCTGCCACCGCCCAGCTGCAGCTCTCCTGGGAGAGCTGTCTGTGCAGGTTTTACCCTCTGCCAGCCAGGGCAGCTCATGAATCACTGTGCATGATTTAACAAGCCTCCGTGACTCTGCAGAGTCCACACTGGGCCCAGCCAGCCCTGACTCTTCAAGGCCGGCCATTCTTTTTAAGGCAACAGCAGAAGCTGTCAAGAATGCAATGAGCAAGTCCCAGTGTCCTCCCAAGCTCTGCCAGTAACATCAGAACCCTTAAAATATCAACCTGATGTCGGTTTGCTCCCCCTGGACACAGAATGTGACATTTCTCAGAATTGTGCAATGGTTTAAAAGAAAAAAAACAACCCCACTCTCTACCCAAGATCGAGGACCTCACAGCCTAGAGGGATTACACAATCGCACAGAAAAGAAAATCTCTCTATCGCAGGACAGATTTTTAGAAGCCTTTATTTTTAACTTCATCATTTGATAGCTACAGTTGCTACTGCCTTGATCTGCTTTTTGAGAGAGGGACAAATCTGCATATTTAAAGCAGGGTTCAGGAGCTTTCAGGGACGAGGCATGTAATATACAGCAGCCAAAGGGAACTGGTCCGAGACAGTCAACTCGATGGGGTTGGGGGTGACCCTGAGAAGGTCTGCCTGGCTGAACGGGGTCAGTTCGTCTCTACTCTGCTTAATTACTGCCATTCTAAATCGGGGCCCAGAGTTGCTTTTTTGAGAAACCTCTGAAAGATAGAAAGATTGTAGGGAAATGTCCTCGTTTTTAAACATTGATTTCCAGCTCAGTGCCTGAAATGTATATAGTGACATTCACTCATAAACTGTTAAACCAGGGGAAATCTTTCTATTATCTGAGCAATACATAGATTCCCGGGAAGGAGAAGGAGAAATCTTTGAAGTTGTGATGCAATACGTTTTTCAAATACATGAAGGAACATGGCTTTCTGTTACCAATAAAGACTTGGAAACACTGTGTGACATCCACCTAGAACTGCAGAGGGTCTCATACTGCGCCCTGACCCATGAAGTCAGATGTAATGGCCAATGGGGGGCAGGAACAGAGTTCCTTTTTCTGTTTCCCTTTTCAACCACACCCCAAATCCCACACGATTGCCGAAAACAGAGACGTTTCTGAACAAACACAATTTAAAAACGAGACAGTTGGTCCCTGCTTAGAAACAACAAGACATCTTTCCCAGGGAACCAGATTCATCCCATGCAGAACAGGACTGAAGGTCTGAATCACAAGGGATCTTAGAAATTCTAAAGTTCCTCTCTCCCTTCACCTCAATTTATACATTGGAAAACCGAGGCTCAGAGAGGTTAAAGAGGCCTGCCAGGGGTCTTACCAGACTTCCCGAATGCTGTCATTCTTTTCAAGGACCCGCACGAGGGCCTCTGCCCCAAGGGAGGTGATGTGGTTGTTAGACAGCCTGGAGAGGAAGACAGAATGGTGAACTTTGAGGATGCTTGGTCTTTGGCTAGTCTATCCAATTAAAGGAGGCTTTGGGAGCTGGACTCCTGACGCCCAATTGCCCTTTCAGCACGTCCCTTTCCTGTCTGAGATTCCCAATGAATTCATCCTCAAAGTGAAATGTACCCCTCTCTCCTCCATTCACCAGATGAGTATTAAGTAGCTGCTCCCTTAGGAAGGAGCTAACACGGTAATAAAAATACATGCATTTTAGTGCCAGGGTTCAAATCCACCTTACACTACTTCTTTTTTTCATTTCAAGCAGATAAGTCCCAATTTCCTCATCTGTCAAAGGGACCTAAAAGAGTACCCACTCATGACATGGAAGAATTAAACAGATAGCTAGTAGGAAGCTGCTATACAGCACAGGGAGCTCAGTTCAGGGCTCTGTGATGACCTAGAGGGGTGGGATCGGGGAGCGGAGGGAGGCTCAAGGGGAGGGGGAATATATGTACACATACTTACACGGCGTATGTCTGAGCCCCTGGCGGCTCAGACGGTAAAAAGCATGCCTGCGGTGTGGCAGACCTGGGTTCGATCCCTGTATTCAGAAGATCCCCTGGAGTAGGAAATGGCAACCCACTCCAGTATGCTTGCCTGGAGAATCCCATGGACAGAGGAGCCTGGCAGGCTATAGTTCACGGGGTCGCAAAGAGTTGGACACGACCGAGCTACTTCACATGCTGTGCTGTGCTTAGTCATTCAGTCGTGTCTGTCTCTTTGTTGACCCCATGGCCTGCAGCCCACCAGGCTCCTCTGTCCATGGGGATTCTCCAGGCAAGCATACAGGAGTGGGCTGCCATGCCCTCCTCCAGGGGATCTTCCCCACCCAGGGGTCAAACCCAGGTCTCCTGCGTTGCAGGTGGATTCTTTACCAGCTGAGCTACCAGGGAGGCCCTGTGTATACACACAGCTGATTCACACTGTTGTACGCAGAAACTTACTCAGCATTGTTAAGGCAGCTATGGAGTACAAGACCTAAACAGATAGCTAGTGGGACGCTGTTGTATAACACAGAGAGCTCAAGGGTCCCCGCCCTGTCTTCTTGCTCACAGCTGTCCTTCCAGATAACCTGTACAACCTGGCTTCCCCCTCGACGATGTCAGGAATTTCCGAGATGCTGACCTAAGGCAGGGCTAATAATAACATCAGCCAACATCTGTTGAGCTCTTACTACGTGCCGCTCATAACCTACGTCACCTCCTCGCATGCTCGGAACCCTGTGAGGAGGGTTCAACTATTACCCTGTCTACACTTGAGGCAACTGAGTTACCAGTCCAAGTAGGAACTGTTGGTAATGGTGGAGCTGGGGCCAAACCCCGCCATTAGGTTCCAGAACCTGTGCTCTTAACCAACGCTTGGCAGAGATTACGCCTAGAAGGATGTAGGCTTTGCTTTTCTTTTTTAAGATTGGTGAGAAGCTCGATTTTTATGGGGAAACAGTGGAGGAGGATACAGTTCAGCGATGCTGAATTGTAAGACTCCCACCGAGGCAGCGTGGAGCCTGGCGGCTGCCATTGCCTAACACCTGTGGGGGTCAAGCGGGGTGAGCCTGTGACAGTGACGGAGGACAAGTTTGCCTCATCCACACCTGGTCAATCATCAACCAGCTATCGCCAAGGGCCCCTCACCGTGTGCAAAGCCTGGCATCCCAGCTCAGATAAACCTGGGCTTCACCCGGGTCCCCCGAGCCCCAGCATCACCCACGTGATGAGTGGAAGTGTTTTCCCCAAACATTTGGCAACTTCCTAGCCCCTGCAGAGCAACACAAATAAGAGCTGCCAGAGTGGATGGCGGGCTGGCAGCGAAGCAGCCGCCCTCCCAGAGGCAAGCTGTCTGCCTGTCTCGGGAGGCGAGTGTTTCCCCGGGCCATGTCTGCCAGGGCAGAGGCCACTCTCCTCTAGAGAAAGGAGCCATCTGTTGGTGCCCTGATGTCCCTGGGAAATGAGACCTTTGGTAGCAAGGCTGGTGTGGCGTTCCACGAGCCTGTGGTGACCACTGGCCGGGCTCCTGCTCACATCTGCCATCCCTCTCCTTGGGGCATGCGTCCTTGCCCACTGAGTCCACCACCAGTGGTCCTGCCATCATTTCCCCAGCCCCCCAAGGGACCTTCCTGAGCTGCTGTGCCCTGCTTCCCTCACTGCCCTCACCCTGACCCAATCTCCATCTCTGGCCTGGAAGAATGCAGGAGTCTCCTGGCTGGTCTCCCTGCTTCCATCTTACCGTCCCTCCACCTGTTCTGCACAAAGCAACAAGCATGACCTTTGGATGATGTGAATCATATTACATGACTGTCCTCATTAAAACCCCCTGAAGTCTCCTCAACACCCTCAGAATAAACTCTGAGCTCTTTCCCAGGGCTCTAAGGCTGTTGTGGCTGGCTCCTCCCACCTCTCCCTCACCCCACCATCCACTATAGTCTAATCTCACAGGTCCTCCTTCTGTTCTCAAAACTACCAAGCCTGTTTCTGCCACAGGGCCTTTGCACTTGCTGTTCTGTCCACCTGGAATGCACATCCCTAAGATCTCAGCATGGCAGGACCCTTCTTATTATTCACGTTTCAAGTCTTTTGTCACCTTCTTAGAGGTGCTGCCCAGCAGCAATTACCTTGCCCTCTCCTGTCATCCCTCTCTTGAATTCTCTTGAGAGTGCATATTACTAACAGAAATGATCTCACGTATTTGTTTACTTGCTCATTATCTGTGTCTCCTATTCAAATTTAAGAGCTGTGTTAGCAGGGCCTTTTCATCTGTCTATCCTCAGTGCCCCAAACAGAGCTCGGCACAGAGTGGGAGCTCCAGAAACATTTCTTGGACCAATATATAAAAGGATGCATGCACATATGAGTAAAAGCAAAAATGCCTGTCTATATACTAATCACACACCAAGAGGAACCACTGGAGATGACCATCAGAAATCTCCTGTCTAAGTAAGGGAAGGCTCCTGGAGAGGCAAAAGGGCATGTCCTATAAGCCACGGAGCAGATGCTGTGGGCAACCCACCCCTATTTCCTCAGCTCTCACCTCTAACTCTTGCTTGCTGAGGAGCTGCTTGCTGGGGAGACCTCCACCCTCTGTAGGAGATCTTTCTGCAAAACCCAGAAGCATGCTTAACCATGGTCAGGGAAAGCCAGAAGCACCGGAAAACAAATATCCCCAAAAGTACACCTCAATACATGAAGGAGAGACAGTTGGTGGATAAATACCCCTTGCTGCCTCGTGCCCACAGGATTGCACCCCACTGGTCCCCAGTGATCACCAGCTTGATGACTCCCTTTTCTGGTTACTCTCCCTCCCCAGCTTCACTTCACTACTCCTTGCCTGCATTTGGGAGGACCCCGAAAGACTGTTTTCTAGCGGGCCACCTTGTGTGAATTAGCCAGGCTGGGAAGCCACCCAGATTTCTTATTCAGAAACACCCCCTCTCAAGGCCGATCATTACTGTCTAGCTCCTGCTTACAGATTCCTTACTTCAGGACTTTCAAACTTGAATTTCTTGCAAGTCCTTTGGCGAGGAAACACACACCTTCATCTTGGACGTGGTTCTCCTCCAGGCTGGCAAGAATAAAGGAGAAAACCCAGTTGACTGGCGACGTTTATTATATAAGATGATGCCAATAAAGACGAACCCATGTGCCCCACCTCTGCCGATTAAGAATATCCAACATCTGAAAACCAATAAAGTAAAAACAGGTCAAGCAAAGTGTAAGGGTCCTCAATTTCTGGGACATCTCTGGGAGAGAATTTGCTCCAGGGCTCCTCCACAAAAGTTCCCTTATGTCCTAGTGACTCAAGATCCATTTTCTGCTTCTTTCTTCTTAATGGAAGCTTAATTTCATTTGGAGCAGCCATGTGCTTGGTGGAAGAACTACATTTCCCACTCTCAACTGCAGCCAGAGTTGGCTAAGGGACATCCACATGGCCATCAACACATAAGGAGAAGTTGACAGATGGGGGACTCTGTGAATGCTCTTTAAAGTGGAGAGACCCAGGCTTTTACCCTTCCTAGATATAGAGGCTGAAACTGAAGTACAGGAGTGCTGCAGGTGCTGCAGCAGCCACCTTGTAACCACGAGGCAACCAACCACGAGAACAAAGCCACACGCTGAGGATGAAACAGATCAAAATGAGAGAGAGTCCAGACTCCTCCTGGCCATATGTAGCTGCCATAACAGCCATATGCTGCCTACCTCCAAACTGCATGTACATTAAATACTGATTTAAGCCACTTTAGATGGAGGTTTTCCATCTCATACAGCCTAATGTAGTCATAACCAATACATTCACAGTGAGGCAATTCTCTAACAAGAATTTCCAAGCTGTGGAATCTGATCAGGATATACTCAATGGTACATTGGCTGAGCTAGTGAGCCCCACTGACAGTCAAGGACCATCAGTAATATCCATTTTGTGACAATGCTCAATAAGTTTCAGTACCTTTATGCTTCCTGGAAAAAAAAATCAAACATTCAGCATTTTATCTCCTTGATACAATTTGGAACTGCTCAGAATATGTCATAAGAAGGCTAAACTAGTGGCATCTAAGGGATGGAAAGCTTGGAATCAGGATAAATATGATTCATGGTTCATCTTTTAACCTCCTCCAAACTACTCCGCCTTGCACATGACCCTGACTCTCATATCCAGGGTTCTTAGGCACCCATATTCACCTTGAAATAACAAAACACTAATAGCAGTGGCAGCAGCAATCATTGTAGCAGTAGCAGCAAGAGTAGTAGAAACATTTGCTGTTGTTCAGTTGCTAAGTCGGGTCTCATTCTCTACGATCCCATGGACTGGAGCATGCCAGGCTTCTCTGTCCCTTACCATCTCCTGGAGTTTGCTCAAGTTCATGTCCATTGAGACACTATCCTATTACAATTTCACATTTATGGAGCGCTTACACATATGCCAGACACTGTACAAAGCTACTTACAGGTGTTATCTCATTTAGTTTTTACAGAAGTATTTAATAGTTGAAAGCATCCATACTCATTTTACAGGTAAGAAACATGAGATTCAGCGATTGTTACTTAACTTGCTTAAGATCACAGCAGGACTTGAAGCTCAGCCTGCTCTTTTCCAGAGTCTGTGCTCTGAACTATTACGCACCATGGAGGAAGCATACAAACCAACAAACCAATCAAACTGGTTTGAAAAATTCAATGAAAAGAGTTAGCCAGGCTCTATAAGCTTCATGCCACTTAGGACAAAGACAAACACAATCACCCAATCACTCAGTCACCCATCTTTGTCTTACACACACATCAGCTTCCACAGATGAAGCCAGAGAATGAAAAAAGGCTAGTGTCTGCCTCCCTAGAGAGATGAATCCCCTAAACTCACCAGAGTTCTTCCAGGGCCACATTCTTTTCCAACATCAATGCTAAGGCTTGAGCACCCACGCTGCCAATGTTGTTCCCCACCAGGCTGGATGTAGTCAAAAAACAAAAATATGTCAGAGCAGTGAGGGACTTCAAAGATAACTCAAGAAGGGAAAAATGCATGGCACACATTGCCACAGGTCCTGGTCTGCTCCATTTCAGACTAATCGATTACAGTGCTCTTTTTCATTAAGTCCAGAAGCAGTGTTTTAGAATCCTTCCCAACATGGTTTACTGAGCAGCTCCGCCTAACAGACTGGAGTTGACTCTTGAGATAAAGTGTAGCTGATCCAGGGCTTCCCTGGTGGCTCAGTGGTAAAGAATCCACCAGCCAACGCAGGAGACATGGGTTCAATGCCTGGTCTAGGAAGATCCCATATGCCCTTGTGCCACTACTGAGGCTGTGCTCTAGAGCCCCGGAGCCGCAACCACTGAACCCACATGCTGCAACTACTGAAGCCTGTGTGACCTAGAGCCCGTGCTCCACGACAAGAGAAGCCACTGCAATGAGAAGCCCGTGCACTGCAACTAGACAGCAACCCCTGCTCTTGACAAGTACAGAAAAGCAACAAAGCAACAAAGATCCAGCATAGCCTAAATAAATAAATGATTTTTTAAAAGTGTATCTGATCCAGGGCTTCCCCAGTGGCTCAGTAGATAAAGTATCCGCTTGCAATGCAGGAGACACAGGAGATTTGGAAGACCCAGGTTCAATCCCTGGGTCGGGAAGATCCCCTGGAGGAGGAAATGGCAACCCACTCCAGTATTCTTCCCTGGCGATTCCCATGGTCAGAGGAGCCTGGCAAACTATAGACCGTGGGATCACAAAGAGTCGGAGATGACTGAGCAACTAAACTATCTGATCCAGCCCAAGATCTTCCGAGTACAGATAGGGAATCAAGACCCTTGAGAGGAAATGGGACCCAAAGTCACCCAGAAAGAGCCAGGTGTCCTGACTTCAACTCCAGCGCTCTTTCTTCTCATCCCACTGTCTAACACAGCGGGGTGAAAATGAAGTTCACAGACCTTCAAAACTGGCCCAGGCTCCTTCCTCCTCACACTGGCTTCCCCCATCAACTGCAGGACGAACTCTGAGGCTTACCTGAGCCACCTCAAGCTCTGGTGATCACCCAAGGCTGCAGCCAGGGCCTGGGCCCCCTCGTCACCCACCTGGTTGCCCCAGAACCTGAAAGGTTCAATGGAGAAAACAGAGAGTGTCAGTGAGAACCTGCTTGGTGTTTGAGACACATGCCCCTCCTCCCTGCGGTCCCAGGCAGAGGGGCAGGACTCCCCAGTCCCAGAAAGGTCTCAGCGGGGACTCAGGGCCCAGCAAAGTGAGCCTGCCTCCATCTTTCTGGAGGGATGGCCAAACTTCAATTAGACTTTTTAGTTTCTTTAAATCAGACTTTCAGAATATGTACCCAGTGCATATTCTCAGGGATGGGGAACTCATTCTCAATGCCAAGGCACAGTTGTGACATTTTTTCCTGACATTGGGTCAGACATGCTTCTGCTCACTGCCACTCAAGAGTCCCTAACTAGGGACCTCTAGGACCACCCAGAACAAGGCGAACTCTTCCACACACCGGTTCTTCATCTCTCACTCCTTTGTCACATCCCCAGTTCCTTCGCAGCCTCCAGCTCCTTCACCTTCTGGCTCCTCCTCCCTAGGCCCTCCCTAATTGGGAAACATGCCTTTCAAAGACGGAGCCCAGCTCATACCTTGGCACCTGGCCATTTCCCACGTGGGAAGTTAGGATGGACCGGGAGGTGCCCACGTGGGCAGAGAGGGCTGGGATGCTCACTGCACTTTCACTCATAAGGTGAACATTTACTGAGCTCTGGCCCCCTGCCAGCACCTCTCTGCACTCCAGCGTGTGCCACTGTAATAGCACAAACCCTGCCCACAACCTAAAGTGCGCATGAAACCAACGAAACACATCACAACATCAAACCACTGGAATACTAAGCAGCTGTTTTTTTTTAAAAGTGAGGTCATGTGATATGAACAAAACACCTGTAATAATACAGTGTTAAGGGAAAAAAAGCAAGTTACATAACAGTGTGTATCATGTGATAGTGCTTGGGGGTTTTAGCACAAGACCAAGCCCAGACAGGTACCTTCATAAATAGGTGTTGAAAGCTAAACACCCCAGATGTGATCTCAAGAAGGAAGGAGCTCAGAGGGGCCGAGGCCACCCTCTCCTTGACTCTGTGATGCTACTGATGCGTTTTGGACAAAGGCTTATCTCTCCAGCAACAGAGTCCCACTCGGGGCTCAAACAGAGCTGGTGGGCAACTTGCCTGCCTGTAAAATGGGTTGGAACACCCAGGCCCTAAAGTCATTCTTCCTACAGTCTTGGGTTCTAAAATCCCCATTTTTTTTGTTGTGTGTTTGCTTGTTTGTTTTGTTTTGTTTTGTTTTCAAATAGACCCTAGTTTACACCAGGGCAAGACAGGACAGGAAAGAGTCTCCAGGGGACTGGACAGGTACAACCCTGTCTGCCCAGCAAACAGAGAAAGCCCCACGCACGGGCCCAGAGGTCTGCGGACTGCCCTTCCCGCCTGTGTCTGACCCCTCTCCCCTGCCTGGCATGACCCCACAGGAAGCCAGGGCTCTGTAGGACCTGGTGCAGCCTCCTCCCGTCCAAGGTTCAGGGTCCAAACTTCCCCACTTCCTTCTCTTTCCTTGACTCTCAGCCCAGGCTGCACATCATCTGGGGCGCTTTTTTACATTACTGATTCCGGACCTTGCATCTAGATAATTCATTGAATTAGCCTGGGGCAGATAGTGGCCTTCTTCAGGAGCTCCCCAGTGGTTCTCAGGTATAGACCAAGGTGAGAAGCACAGCTCCAGCGCCCTGGAGGACCAGAGGGCTTCCTGCCACTGCACGTGGGCTCTGCCCTCCCCCAACCCTGACATCCTGAACTTCCTGTTTATTGAGCAAAAAGCAAGGCAGAGGCAACAAGGGCCGCCCACGCTCTCCCTCCCCATGGCAGCCTGGGCGGGGGATGGAAGGGGGGTTGTCTCAGAGATCTTGGGGCTGAAGAGTTGGTTTCACCTGCTCCTAAATCCTCACAAGTCCCCAACCCCTGCGTGCTGCCCCTCTGCCCCAGAATCCCACCTACCCCAAAAACTGCAAGGAGTTGTTAGTTCTGAGCCCCTGGGCCAGCACCTCGGCTCCCGCGGCCGTGATGTGGTTGTTCCCCAGCCTGGAAAGGAAGACAGAGGAAAACTGAGACAGAGAGCAGGGCAGGAGGACCCTTACTGCTCCCCCAGACCCGGGTCTGGGGAGAGGGGTGCACAAGGAGTGTGGCCCAGATGGAGAAACAGGGAAGAAAGGGTGGGGGACCTCTCTGAAGGGCGCAGGAACCAGTCCTCCAGTTCCAGCAGGAGACGCGGTGTGTGCTGCTCCAGCTCAGGGGGCTCACTGACTGCTCCTGCAACTTCTTTTTCCACCAGCAAAGGGAGAGGCCTGGGGGAGCCGGTTTTGCAAAGCACTGTGACAGGCAGGAGCAGGAACCACAACAGTCCAGGGAGGCGGCTCCCCCAGGGAGGGAAAGTGACTCACTCTTCCACCCTCTCCTCTGACTGCGGGCGGGCGCTGGACCCTGCTTTCCTCCCGCAGCCCGCCCCATCCATGGTGGCTGCGGGTGGCATCTACCTGTTTTGAAAGTGCCTTGGGCGGGGGGGGGGGGGCGCAGAGCTGGTGGCTGAAAGTAAGAAAGGGATCCTGCTAAGCCTTCGGGCAGAGGTGGAGGACGGGGTTTCAGCAAAATTTGGGCACCTCAGAGAGTTTCAGGGAGGTCCCCGGAACTCTCACCCACAGCTCCAGGCTTCCTGGAATAATACTGCCAGTTTCATCTTTCAAAGAAGTTTCATTCACTTTAAGCTGACAGACCTCTGACCTTGCTGGGTAACCAAGGGCCCCAGTTGCTGTGCTGGCAAGTCCAGTGCCCCCCCCACCCCCTTCCCCAAGGCCTGCTTCCCATGGGCTGCTCCCAGCCAAGGACTGGGAGACCTGAGCCTCCTGTCGGGCACACTGGCTGGAGGACTCCCCAGAAGCCTCTGTCTTCTCCCCAAACTGCACTGGGGTCTAAGATGCTTCCTCCTGACAACCCTTCCTTCCCTCTCTCCCTCCCTCGGGGTCAGACCTGCGGCCCTCCCAGCCTCCCCCTCCAGCCCCCTTCCCCAATTTCCCCCCATAGGCATTTCCCCCTGCAAATTTGTTGCGTATCTATAATCCCTCCTTGGAGGACTGGACAAACAGGATCAACATGCTGAGAATTTACGTGATTTATCCACCATCTCTCGGGCACTAAGTTCTGGGATACTCTGCCAGCTTTCTATGTATATTAACTTGCTTACACATCACAGGGCTTCCCTGGTAACTCAGCTTGTAAAGAATCTGCCTGCAATGCAGGAGACTCTGGTTTGATTCCTAGGTTGGGAAGATCCCCTGGAGAAGAGATAGGCTACCCACTCCAGTATTCTTGGGCTTCCCTGGTAGCTCAGCTGGTAAAGAATTCATCTGCAATGCAAGAAACCCTTGTTCGATCCCTGGGTTGGGAAGATCCCCTGGAGAAAGAAAAGGCTACCCACTCCAGTATTCTGGCCTGGAGAATTCCATGAACTTACAGTCCATGGAAAGAGTTGGACATCACTGAGCGACTTTCACTTTCTAATCATCACAACTACCTATGAGTTATGAGCTATAATTACTTTCTCCATTTTATAGAAGGGAAAACAGACACAGAAAACAGAGGTCACTGTGTGACCCAAGGTCACACAGCTAATGAGGATTCAAGTCTCAGGGATGCTGGATCCAAACCTTGGTCAGTCTGGTTCCAGAGCCCCGTGCTCTCAACTGAGGTGCTATATTAACCCAAAACACAGATCTCTCAAGTTCTGGGAGTGGGAGCAGCACCTTTTGCTACCTTACAGCCCTCCCTGGAGGTTGCACCAGCCCAGCTCTGACCACAGCCGCTCTTGGCTTCCTGAGCTGAGGGTAGCAGGTGGTGGAGGCAGAAGAGAGTCCTCAGTACAGAATGGTACCTCTGGTGTTGGCTTCAGCGGCCCTGCCCGAGACTGAGTCAACAACTTTAAAATGTCAGCTCATCCCCAAATGCATGGAAGCAATTCTTCACTTTGAAGCTGAAACTCCAATACTTTGGCCACTTGATGTGAAGAGCTGACTCACTTGAAAAGACCCTGATGCTGGCAAACATTGAGGGCAGGAAGAAAAGGGGGTGACAGAGGATGAGACGGTTGGATGGCATCACAGATTCAATGGACATGAGTTTGAGCAAACTCCAAGAGATGGTAAAGGACCGGGAAGCCTGGCGTGCTGCAGTCCATGGGATCACAAAGAGTTGGACACAGCTTAGCGAATGAACAACAACCCTGCCTCATAAACCCAGGAGGCAAGAACATCTCGGAGAGAAAAAGAAGCCAGGCCAACCCGTGGACCAGCTGGGGGGATGATGCAATGGTGTCAGATGGGAGAGAGCTTCTAGTTGAGGCTGAGAGGGTGGGGAGCAGCAGAAACTTGGACTTACCAGACTAGAAAGTGAAAGTGTTAGTTGCTCAGCCCTGTCCAACTCTTTGTGATCCCACAGACTGCAGCAGACTCCTCTGTCCACGAAATTTTGCAGGCAAGAATTCTGGAGTAGATAGCCATAGCCTACTCCAGGAGACCTTCCCAGCAGAGGGGCTGGAGCCATGTCTCCTGCATTGCAGGCATATTCTTTGCTGTGTCAGCCAGCAGGGAAGCTCAGCACTGGACCCACCAATAGAAGGACTTTCTGAGAGCTTTTTGGCAACTGGCTGCCTCTGTGGTGGCAAGTGACTGCTGCATTCCTACCCTGACCCAACATGTGTTCAATGTACCATCAGGGAATGGATCATCCCAGAGAGCCAGTGACACTCTGAGACACAGGGAAGGAAAAAAGGTCCTGGAAACACTCCTCAGTCCTGGGGGCTAAAGGTCAAAGGGCAGGAAGCCTCAGTAGCATTGGTCCAGAGTTTTCTGGGGAGGTCACAGCATGAGTGAATCCCTGTTCAGAATGAGACACTGTCCTTGTTTTCAGCGAGGTGAGGTCATATGCCCATTATGGGGCGAGACCAGACCAAACTGACTCAGCTGTGGGGATGAAAGTCTCCAGGAGCAGGGAAGCCCCAGGCTCACCTCAAAGCCAAGAAGTTCTGCTTGCACGCAAGGAGCCTGGCCATGGAGTGTGCACAGCCGTCGGTCAATTTGTTGTTGAACAGACTGGAAAGTTCCAAGAGAGAAGAGATGTGGAGATAAAGCATAGCGGACAGTGACACCCCAACCCCGGGTAGCTGCCACCCTCAAGAGTCCCCTGTGCCCTCTGGCCATGCAAACTTCCCAGCGCATCACTCGCTCACAATTGTTGCCCAGGCCACACGGCTTGGGCTGAGTCTGGGGACACGGGGCCCAACGTCCACAGCCTGACTTACGCTAACTTCTGCAGCTGCTCACAGCGGAGAGCATGTTCAACCAGCTTGCAGATGCCTCGGTCTGAGATGTTGTTATCTCGCAAGCTAAACAAAGACAAAATAAAGAAATCTGAACACAGAGTCAATGAAAGAGGGGAAAAAATGAACAAAATCCCCAAAGAGACTGTTGCTTAACCCTGAAGTGCCAGCCTCTGAGCTACTGGGAAATGCTGCAAGGACAGAGCACCCCAGAAAAGTGGACACTCCTCCATGCCCGGCCAGGGTGCTAATGTCATGCACTCGGTGGGATGGAGGGCTTTGGAAGTGGGGACCCAGAGTCTCTACTAATGAACACTGGAATCCTTAGGAAGGCACTACCTAATTGCAGGCACAGTTTCCAGCTCTGTAAAAGAGAAAGGAGCATCGCAAAAGTTCCGAGGTGAGAAGGAGCATGGGGAAGGCACAGGGAACTAGACAGGCCACCGCTGGGGGTCATGGTGGTTACCACCATCCAGGCGACCAGATGGAAAATCAGACAAGAGCAGCTAAGACTTTGGAAACAAGCAAGCACCCTATGTCAATACTCCTGCAAGCCAGCCTCTGCCTGGCAGGTCCCTTCCAACATTTCTCTTTGGGAACAGTGTTCCCCAAAGCTCACCTGATCACAAGATCATCATATAGTGCTCCTAAAATAGACTCTCTGGCCCCTTCCCCAGAACTGGTGAGTCTGCAAGTGTGGGGCAGGGCTCAGGGATCCGTGTGTTTTATTCACTGTGCTCATGATTCTGCATCTTTTGGTCAGCTTGGGGCCTGACTTAAAGGTTAACACCTCAAGCTCTCTGAAGTCCCTCAAAGAAGGTTCTGATCCTGGACAGTCACCTGACTAGCTATTTGCTGGTCCCTTCACCGGTGAAAAAGGAAGGAAGGTAAAGTGGGCCTCACTGGGCTCTGGTGGGGATTTAAAGAGACAGTGCACATAAAGCCCTGTGAGCACCTGGCACATAGTAAAACCTGTAATCTAATTGTTCAGACATATGGAGCACTTCCCAATAGTACTGATGTTTAATCCTCTTTAATCTGATGAAGTAGGTACTATTATGATGCTCATGAGAGAGAAGGAAACTTGCTGAGGCCCAGCAAGCCAAGTGACTTCGCCAAGGTGGCACAGGGTCTAGAAGATTGGAGCCTAGGTGTTCCAGCTCCGTGTGTGTGTCTGTGTGTGTGTGTGTTCAGTCGCTCCGGCTCAAGGTCTCCTGTAAACCACAACATCATACGGCCGGCCTCTCCCTTACAGCCTGCTCGGGGCTCTAAGGTCAGATTCATGCAGGGGTGGGTCACGAAATCAACTCTGAAGGTCTGGAGCAGCCTTTTTAGACTGGAAACAGAACAGAAAGGAAAAAGAGAGCAAAGTGTACCAGGGTTAGTAAGAGAAAGTCATTTTGTGAAATTTCAGTTTGACATGTCTGGGTGCTTGCTTACCCTCTCCTTCACCATGGGGTCGTGGTCCGAAAACTTTGAAAGCCATGGCCCTAGAGTCAGAACCAGGGTCTCAAGAAATCTGCATGCACGGGGCCCCTTGTATACGGGGCTCCTTGGAGCCTGAGGGTTTCGGTTGGCATGGAGACAATTTGGAGTGGGAGAGACACAGTTTGGCACCATGGGAGAGAACCCTCCCTCTCTCTCTTCCCTACTTCCTTCCCTCCTGTCTCGTCTCTTTCCCTCTCCGCCCCCCTCCCTCACTCCCTGTCTGTCTGTCTGTCCCTCTACCCACAGGAAATGCCCACTCAGCAGGCTCAAGGCCGCTGCCTGCCCCTCCCCCGTAGCGATGGCAGTTTCAGTACTAAAGTGTGTGCAGGGCAAAGTGTGGTGGAACCTGGTCAGGGACTTTCACTGCTAATGGAAATTCAAGCTGGTTCCCACAGACCAGCAGTCTTCACAGTGTGGCCTCTGAACCTCTTACAGCAGAATCACTCTGTTAAAAACTTAAATTCCAGGGCCCCCACCTCAAACCTACAGAATGAGAATTTGAGGAACAGGCCCAAGAACCTGCATTTCCACAAGCCCCCTTTGTCTGAGCACTAGAACCAGACCATCCTCATCTTTCCCAACCCTTCCAGGCCATGTGGGAGTCACGTTTCCCAGCCAAGAAGGGATCCATTCTTTCTAGGGATCCATCTACTGAGGATCATCCAGACCAGAGGCTCTTGACCTCTTGGAATTCAAGGACCCCTTCAAGAACTATGGGTCCACTATCCATAAAAATGCTCGTTCATATTTCTATCAAGAAAACAGCTCCCACAGACAGGTCTTGAAATTCCTGAGTGAAAAAATAAATTATGATTCCTCCTTCCTAGGGAACCAGAGATTGTGCTCCCATGTTCCTACCTATCCAGCCAGACCCACTCTCCCCTTCTCCACCTGGCTGTCAGTCCTGGGGGGCTGATTCCTATAGACACCCTGACTGGGGGCTCCCTGTGGGTTAAAGCAAGAGTGAGGAGGAGAGGGAGGGCCAGCCCTTGCCCTTCCAGGCTGCTGCCGCCTCCATCCTTCCAGGCACACCCGCCTCCCAGCCAATAACTACTCGCCCACCCCCACCCCTTCAGGCCTTGCTGCTGGTGTTCAGTCGCTTAGTGTCCGACTCTGCATCACCATGGACTGCAGCACGCCAGGCTTCCCTGTCCATCACCAACTCCCAGAGCTTGCTCAAACTCATGTCCATTGAGTCGGTGATGCCATCCAACCATCTCATCCTCTGTCGTCCCCTTCTCCTCCTGCCTTCAGTCTTTGCCAGCATCAGGGTCTTTTCTAATGAGTCAGCTCTTCGCATTCAGGCCTAAGGAGGCTAACAGCCCTGTCCCTACCCCACCCCAGGCTCAGGAGCCTGCATCATCCCTCTCTTCCTAACATCCCATCTGCTCTTCCTAACTACTGCCCAAGCTTTTGTAAGCTGTCCCTTTATTAAACTCTCCTCAAATCACCCAACAGCGTCCTCCCTATATATTCATATTTATCATATATATTAACTTTGTATCATATACATATTAGGGGCTTCCCAGGTGGCGCTAGTGATTAAAAAAAAAACCTGCTTGCCCAATGCAGGACACTAAAGAGATGCGACTTCAACCCCTGGGTTGGGAAGATCCCCTGGAGGAGGGCATGACAACCCATTTCAGTATTCTTGCCTGGAGAATCCCATGGACAGAGGAGCCTGGTGGACTACAGAGAGCCAAAAAGAGTCAGACACGGCTGAACCAACTAAGGATAGCACAACACATATACATATCAACTCTCTGTGATATGTTATATGCTACATTTAGAAACCTATGTCCTTGATAGCAAAAGCCACTACACAGTTTCTAATAGATATCCATGTACTTGCTCCACAGAGAAAAATGTCTCCCTGTTTTGGTCCAGGGAAAGGTATGTCACCCTAATATAGTCAAGGAGAGGTTTGTTCCTTGCTCAGGGTAAATATAAGGTCCCCTAGAGTAGACATAAAGCCCTGGAGAGGCTGCGAGTCAATTGTAAGTTTAAGCTAAAACTTCTGCTTTCTCAGAGGTTTAAAACAGGGAGCAGAAATCCCCTTTCAAGTCTGGAAAGGAAGTTGGGAGCCTGCAGCATACTGGCCACCTGACCTGGGTACCTCTCTGCCCTCATCTGGCCTGTGGGTGCAGAGAGGCCCGCAGGGGCAGGGCACAGACGTTCCTAAGTGGGAAAGCTCACAGCTTCAGACGGGGGCTGAGAGCAGTACAGCCAAGTTAGACCTCTCCACTACATAAAGAGTTAAAAAGCAGGTGAAACTCTGTGGCCACTGTCTATCTCTTGGGTCTCCAAATTTCCATCTCATTGGGATTTGGAAGACTCTCAAGGGAGTATGGGATTAACAGGTGTGCTGTGCTTAGCCGCTCAATCACATCCAACTCTTTGCAACTCCATGGACCATAGCCCACCAGGCTCCTCTGTCCATGGGATTCTCCAGGCAGGAATACTATTCTCCAGAAGGATTGCCAGGCCTTCCTCCAGAGGCTCTTCCCAACCTAGGGATCGAACCCAGGTTTCCTGCATTGTAGGTGGATTCTTTACCATCTGAGCCACCAGGGAAGTACCCTACCAAATATAAAATAAACAATAAGGATTTACTGTATACCACAGAGAACTATATTCAATATCTTGTAACAAACTAGAATGGAAAAGAATAGGGAAATATACAGACATATATATATGTATATATGTAACTAATTACTTTACTGTATACCTAAAACAAATACAATATTGTAAATCAACTATACTTCAATTAAGAATAAGTTAATAAATAAAGTTTTAAAAATCAAAATGAAATCTCTCATGGGGTGTAGTCACCTCTGATTTGAGGGTAGTTCCTAATACAGACACATATTACACCAAACTTTGCCTTTGACTTCAAGGCTGCCATGGTGCCTCTGAAGCCCATCCATAACACAGGTTGCTTGTGGGGAGCTGAGACTGGTAACGAGAAAGCTGCCAACTGTGAATCCCAGTTTTGCCACTTCCTGTGTGATCTTGGACAAGTTACAATGCTTTGGAACCTAAAATCAAGGATGCTGGGGATAATAAGGGCTTCCCAGGTGGCACCAATGCCAATGCAGGAGACATAATATGTGGGTTTAACCCCTGGGTCGGGAAGATCCCCTGGAGGAGGGCACGGCAACCCACTCCAGTATTCCTGCCTGCAGCATCCCATGGACAGAGGAGCCTGGCAGGCTATGTTCACAAGGTCACAGGATCAGACAGAACTGAAGCAACTAAGGACGCATAGCACGGGGATAATAACATCCCTTCCTAGAGCCCAGGGTGGTTGTGGGGATTAAAGGAGGTAATTCTGGAACTTCCCTTGCGGTCCTGTGGTTAAGACCACATGCTTTTTATGCAAAGGATGTGGGTTCGATCCCTGATCAGGGAACTAAGATCCCACATGCCTCATAGAGCAAAAATATATTCAAAAATAAATTAAAGGAGGTAATTCTGGGGAAACTGAAATACAGTGTCTGACAGTTCGGCCATTCCATGAATTTCGACTATTGTTATCATAAGTTGAATCTAAGGTGCAGACTGGGGAGGGGGTCTCGGCTGGGTCTTTGCACACAAGGGGCTGGGCCTGGACTCCTGGCTCCCAGCATAATGGGGGCTCCCCTACCTGCACCAGGATGGCAGCATTCCCACAGAGCCCAGCCAGCATCACCCAGCATCACTCACTAAAGAGCTTTGCAGACGCCCAGGCAAGGCAGCAGCTGCTCCACGCCGATATCGCCCACAGAGTTGTGGTCCAGCTGCAGGGCCACAGGCCGCCGGAGGTGGCGCAGCACGAAGGCCAGGGCGGCACACTCGGCCGGGCCCACACTGCAGAAGGTCAGCTTGAGGTGCCCAACGTTCAGCCTGCGCGCGGCCTCCCGCGCCAGCCGCTCCTCCTGCATCTCGTACAGGCTCCGGATGAGCCAGAGGAAGCCGGGCAGGGCGTGCATGCTCTTGGCCTCACCGGGCACAGCGGATGGGATGGAGCGGAAGTGCTCGCGGAGGCTGTGGGTCAGACACCGCCGGACACAGTCCCGGCGCCGGAGCAGTGCCGTCTCAGAGGCCTGGCACTCGGCCAGCAAGCTCCGGTGCTCCTGGGACAACAGCCCCACCAGGAAGGCCCCTGTGATCTGGAGGTTGTGTGACTCGGCCCCCTGCAGCAAAGCGGCCACGCTGCCCTCTTTGCATTGGGAGCCCCGCAGGAACAATTTGGGGAGCATCCTGGCCAGAGGCGAGCTTCCAGGCCTGTGACCTTGGAAGAGATGTCTGAGCGAGGATGGCGGGGTGTCTGCACAGAGGGCGAGGTAGAATGCAGCAAAAAAGCACTGGAAGGTGATATGCAGGAATTCCAGGGGGGCCGTACTCCTGGCTGCAACCCTCTTGGCGCGCACCAGGAAGCCAAGAGAAAGGTCCTCACTGTCGACGTGTGCCGCCTGCAGTTGTTTGGCTGAGAACACGTAGCAGCACGTGCCCAGGCCCCAGAGAGCCAGGCGGCCGAGGTGCAAGAGTGTGGGGAGCCTGCCCTGAATCAGGCTGGGTCCCAGACCATGGGTGGCTAAGGGTTGCGGGGAGGCGTGCAGCAGAAAGTGTCCCAGGATCAGCAGGTACATATCCGTGGTGGTCTTTGGGGACCCCTGGCCCTGCAGCAACAGTTCCTCGTGACATTTGGATACCATCCAGGAGAAGACGGGCAGGTGGCACAGACCATGCAGGGCCGAGGTGGCTCTGAGCAGGCAGAGGAGGCGGTCGGCCACCCCAGGCTCGCGATGCCGCTTCCTCAGGTACAGTTCGATGCCCTCTTCCGAGAAGCCCTTGAGGCTGAGTTCGATGCGCACGTGCTTTCGGAGGCTCGCGGATACCGCGCCTGGACGGCTGGTCAACACCTTGCGGGCGTTCTTTAGCAGGTTGCCCTGCAGAAGGTTGAAGAGCAGACTTTGGACTGACGTGGGGGTGGTCGGACAGCAGTGACGCTCCCGATCCGTGAACCTGAACCTGAATTCATCAAAGCCGTCGAAGGTTAAGAGGATGCGCTCAGGGTGGTCAAGGAGGACCTGGAAAACGTCCTGGGGGCCAAGGTCGGGCCAACAGCAGTGTTCGAAAAGCAGCGTCCGCACGCACAGCGGTTTCGCCAGGCACTGCAGCTGCCGGCAGCTGAACGGGAAGACAAAGAAAAATTCCTGGAAGGCCCGCCCCAAAGCCCAGAGCAGGTGCAGCTGTTGCAAGAGCGTGCTTTTGCCGCTGCCCGCCTCGCCCACCACCAGCACAGTGTCCGCCTCTTTGTTGAAATGGTCACGCGTGCTGAAGAGCTCCTCCAGGCCTAGGGTGGTAGGGCTCTGCTGCGGCGGTCCAGCCACGCCCACCTCCGTCTGGATTTCCAGAACATTCTCTGTATACACTTCTTCCAGGCAAAGAGTCTCAGCTCCATCATAGGTGCTCAGGAAGCGAGACTGAGCTGATATAACGGTCCTCAGCTTGGACATGTACTTCTTACAGGCGGCATCTGGAAGACAGAAGAAGGAACAGAGGCGCTGGGACCATGGTGAAAATGGGCCCTGATGAGGGGTGGGCTGCCTCGGGGAAATGAGATGTGACGCATGTGCAGTGCCCATCCTGGCTGTCCACTCACAAGCCATGGACGTTGAGGTTGGTCATGTAACCTTCCCGAGACTCAGTTTTCCCTTCTGTGGGACAGGAGAAGTGGTGGTCCCTACATTTTACAGGTAGGGACCCAGGTGAAAACTCGTGGATCAATGAAGATAATGTTCTTTGTTCAGTGTCCAACATGAAATGCTCAAAAGACGTTGCCTAGCACCATTATCGTTACTGACGTTGCAAAGAGCTATAGAGAAGATCAGGAGCACCAGGCTGGGATCAGAAGACCTGCATTTTGATGTCTGTCCCACCATGTTGGTTCGGTAGACTTAGACAAGTCCCCTCACCACTCAGCCTCAGCTATTCTTTATAAAGGGAAACAGAAGGCTTAAGGACACAGGAGCTCAGTTTCTGAAGTCAGATACACCTGAGTTTGAAATCTGGGTCTACCATCAACTTGGGCAAGCGTCTCATCCTTTCTGGCTTTAGCATTCTTATCTTTAAAACTGGGAACAATCCACACCTTGCAGGATTGTTTTAGGAAGAAATGAGAAAAAGGAGAGTTTAAAAGAATGATGACATACAGTTAACTCTCACAGAATGGTGTTTATTATCATTATGATTACTGGAAGCAGTAGGCACATCAGTGGCCCCTCTAAGGCACCCACATTTTAATTCACAGCATGTGTGAATATGTTAACTTACTTGCAAAAGGGATTATTAGACAGATGTAATTAAACTGAAGACCTTGAGATGGGAAGCTTATCCTAGTTTATGTGAGTGGAGCCAGCGGTGGATGGTATCTGGGCCACTGGGGCGCCCAGATCAAGGACCTGGACAATATTCCCTAATCAAGATCTACTTCCCCATCCTCTTCATACAAACATCTGCAATACAAGTTCTCATGTCTATGATATGTCCACAAGGGTGCTGTTTTTCCTTTTGTTGCTGTTCAGTCACTAAGTTATATCCGACTTTTGGGGACCCCATGCACCGCAACACGCCAGGCTTCCCTGTCCTTCACTACCTCCCAGAGTTTGCTTATAGTCATGTCCATTGAGTTGGTGATGCATTTCATCCTCTGCTGGCCTCTTCGCCTTTTGCCTTCATCATCCTCATATTATACCAACATGAGCAAACCACTCCCAGGGGCAGGGGTTGGTTCTTTTTATAGGAAATTGAGAAGTGATGGTCCAGAGCCCCAGGCGGTAGGACCACAGAGTATTACAGCCTCACTGCCCCCAACCAGGTACTGACCCATTTGTTCTCAACTCAAAGGCTAAAAGGTAATTCTCACAGAGTGCTCTGAGCACATTGAAGCTGTATTTATGGTCATTCAAAGGACAGGCCCTGTGATTGTTGTTTCCTCCTCTGTTCCCAAAACTGACGACTGTCTTTGCCCTTAATGCCAGCTGGATAAACTAGGAGCACTGAATGGAGACTGCAAAATGTATATTTTTTCCTAATACTGTGATTTTCCATGAAGGATTTCCAGCTGCCAACAATCATATCAAGACTCTTCAGGGGAAAAAATTTTAAAAACAAACACATGTCAATTGTCACCTTTGGGAATCTTGCACCATGGCACAGTGTTAACCATGCATGAATAGCCAGCTGAGGTTGATGATACCAACAGCAAACATTAACCAAGGGCTAAGCAGGGTACCATGCTCAGAGCTGTGCATCCCCTATCGTGTACTGATGTCTGTGTTCTGTTCTCAAGTGAGAGGGTGCAGACCCCGATGCCAAGCACAGGCCTCCAGGCATTCTTCCTTCAGTGGGCAGAGCCCGAGGTGATAAATCCATCTGTCAGCACCATGAACAAGTCACGGGGCCTTGATGGTAACGAGCTTTCCTGATGGTAATACGGGAATAAGACACATGAGGCTTTACAACCAATGAGCTCTTCTCCCAAGAAAAGAGGAAGTATAGGTGCAGATGGTCCAAAGCCAGATCCATCCTCCCCTACCTCGTCACTCAACGTCCCTGCCCTAGTTTCCACATCTGCAAAGCGGAGGAAACAATACCTACTTCTCAGGGTTGTTGCCAAGGACAGACATTATAAATAAAGCACTTGGCAGGATGCCTGGGATGTTCAGGCTGTGCTATCCGAGCCTCTCCCATTCCTGAGTTGGGTCGGTGACCATGCGAGATGAGAGATATCGCATTATCTAAATCCATTTGGCTCCTAAGTTTCTGATGCTGAGTAGCTAAACTGCAGAGATCAAGAGATACCAGCCATCAAAAAGTGTTTCTGTATCTTTCCAATACAAGTAAGGAGAGAAGAGCCAGTAAGAAAGGCCAGTATTAGCCCTCAAGACAAGGCTGCTCCAGTGATCACTCTGCAGGGTAAAAAGAAATAAAAGCAAACCCTAACAGTACACACATTAATCCTCTCAACATCCCAATGAGACAGTGTTGTTGTTTTTATTGTTGTCTAGTCACTAAATCATGTCTAACTCTTTTGCAACCTCATAGACTGTAGCACACCAGGCTCCTCTGTCCATGGGATTGCCCAGGCAAGAATACTAGAGTGGGTAGCCATTTTTTTCAGGAGATCTTCCCATCCCAGGGATTAAACCTCCATCTCCTGCATTGACAGGTGGATTCTTTACCACTGGGCCACCAGGGATGCCTGCAAACAGTGGTGATGTTACCCTTAAAATGAGACGCTGAGTCTTAGGGAGGTTTACACAGCCAGTAAGTGAGATTCTAGCTGACAAGTCTCATTCTGATGTTTTTTCTCTTCACCATGAATCTGAAAGTCTTCCTTTCCCTTTCTGATAACCGAGAAGAATACATATATACCTTCAAAGGGCAGGGCCAATGGGACCGGTAATTCCTGAATACACTGTAGAAGAAAGGCAGCCAACCCATTCGCCTTCACTGTGGCGAGATCAAGGAGCCTTCTTGCCTGTGGGGAAAGCAAAAAGTCATTATTTATCCAGAAAGGCAAATGGAGAGGTGTGAGAATGTCTCTACCACCTATGGCAATGCCATGAGCCTCTCTCTTCCACCACAGTGAAAGGCCAGAAAAACACCTGTGCAATAAGATGCATTTGAAGAAGTCAACGCAGACACTTGAACACACACCCAGTGTGGCTCCCTCTTAGGACTCATTCAAAGAGTGAACAACTTAAAAAAAGAAAAAGACATAAATCTATAAACCTACAAGAATGGGGAAAATAATTCTTGGAAGACAGAAATTACTTGAATGAGTAGTGATTTCTCCGAGTCTCTGTAATCCCCACAGGGACTACAGCGCAAGGTACAATGTAGGTTTCAGGTGTACTAGTGATAGAGGACCACAACACAGCTGTTCTAAGACACTTGAACGTAAATACTCTGAGCACTTTAAAGCAGCCTTGAGCAGGCTTATTCCATCAGTCTCAATCAGCTTTACCCAAACTCACTTGGACACCAAGCACATACTTCAAAAACAGACAAAAATCAAACCTAAAAAGTCCCCTTGACATTTTGAGACCATACACATTCCTTCATTTAGAGCGGTCGCATGGCTCCTCCATCATCTGAAACATTGCCCAAACATCATCAGTGATTTTGCTCTTCAGAGATGCTATCAATAAATTACACACGAGAGCTTTCCAAAAGAAGCAAAAATTGATGTGAAATAATTTTTCAAGCAAATGTTTAAAATTCAAATGATAAAGCAGACAACACTGTAAATGAACTATACTCCAATAAATCTTTTAAAATAACATTATTACAAAATAAAAAATGAAATAAACCCACTCCATCCTAACACTGCAATGTGTTCTAATTCATTCATTCATTCAATAATTCATTATTTCATCAACAAATATTTCTTGAGTGCCTACTATGTACAAGGTTCTCAGCACAATAAGCTTTAAGACAGAAACTGGTACATAGTAGGCATCAAAATAGATTCATATAATTCTAATTAATTAATTAATTCAATTCTAATTAATGAATTCAATTAATTAGTCTGGCCCTCTCATTAACTACTGTGAGCTTTTTTTTCACTTTTCTGAGACTCAATTTCCCAATCCATAAAGTGGGCTGTTAATGACTGTTCCATCTGCATCACTCTTTGGGGGAAAACAAAACAAAGAGCTTCAGAAATACCCCAAAGACATTTTTCTGTTCTTGTGGAATGACATTTTCAGAGGCAGTTATCATAACCCCGAATGTTTATGATCTAATGCAATTTCATATAGAAGTCCTATGTGGGCATTTAAACTACATAAGTACATAGTGTGTTGTATTAATTATTAAACACAGATTTAACTTAATAAATTTTTGTGATCTGTTGAGCTGTTAATTTAAAGCAGACAGCACTAAAAGTGAACAAGTACAGAATATCACCAGTGACAGAACTGATAGTAGCAAACAGTAGCAAACAGCAAAGCTAATGAGTGCTTGGTGGTGGTTAAGTTGCTAAGTCATGTCCAACTCTTGTGACCCCATGGACTGTAGCCCGCCAGGCTCCTCTGTCCATGGGATTTCTCAGGCAAGAATACTGAATACAGGAATGCAAGAATTCCTTCTCCACAATGAGTGCTTACTATGTGCTAGGTAGTGTTCTAAGAGTTATGTAGCTCACCTCATTGAATTCTCCCAAGACCTTACTGATGTTTCCCAGATGAGGAATCTGAGACAGGAGAGATTAGAAATGAGGGTTTCCATAGAGAAATCTGAAGTCACAGGCCTTGAGCCTGCAACATCCTCACTTCAGAATCCAAGATGCTCGCCACCGCAAAACAGCATCTCGCATCAGAAGTGGCATGATCCCAAAAATCCACAGCAACTTTTACCTCCCCAGCTACCTTTATTTATTTATTTTTATTGATTGATTTTTGCCACACCTTGCAACATGTGGGATCTTGGTTCTCTGACCAGGGATCAAATTTGTGCACCTTGCAGTGGGAACGTGGAGTCTTAACCGCTGGACGGCCAGGAAAGCCTGCTGGCTCCCAGGTGGCACAGTGGTAAAGAATCCATATGTTAGTGCAGGAGACAAAGGAGACATGGGTTCGATTCTTGGGTTGGGAAGATTCCCTGGAGAAGGAAATGGCAACCCGCTCCAGTATTCCTGCCTGAAAAATCCCACGGACAGAAGAGCCTGGTGAGCTACAGTCCATGGGGTCACAAAGAGTCTGACAAGACTGAGCACGCACACACACACACACGCATGCACACACACACGCACCTTTAAAGGAGGAGGACTAAGACCCACATCTCCCCACAGGCCTGATTTCACGAACTAGTCTCAATAACTAAGCACACTTTTCCTCTGAATTCTGATGAGCCAAGGGGGAAGTGCTTACCCGCTGGGATGACGTGAAGATGGGCCGCCTGATTTCATCAGTTTCGTACTGGCTGATGAAACCCCGCTGCTGTGTCAGGTCCAGCACACCCTCCACGTGGCCATAGAGTCTCCTGACGATGGCTGGTCGGTGACTCTGCAGGTCACGGGCTGGGTGGGGTGAGTGGGGGTCCCAGGAGCTGGGAAGCTCGGGGGGCTGGCTGTCAGCCTGGGCCTCCCTCACAGCTGCAGTCAGTTGTTCACGGCCCCAAGCACCCTTATTCCAGATGGTGTCCAGGAGGCGCCTGGCCAAGTGGGAGATGGGTTGGCCCACGAGGCTGAGCCCCTCGTAGTCCTCCCAGGAGAGGACTTCCCGGGAAAGCAGCTGGTCCAGAATGCTCTCAAAGCCCTCCAGGGACCCCGAGACCAGCAACTCCACCAGCTGGCTTCTCTGGGTCTGAAAAGCATCTTGTGCGCACATTTCACAATCTGGGAGGAGAATGAGGTTAGTGCAGGGCTTCTCAGAAAGCAGGCGGAGGGTAGTGGAGAGGGCAAGCCTGCCCCACCCTGAGGCCAAGCCAGCCACGGCTGTACCCTCAGACACTACCAAGGCAAGCTCCCCATTGTACAGATGTGCAAACTGAGGTCCAGAGAAGGCAAACTGGCTCGTGGTCTCACAGAGGGTCTGAAGCAGCCAGGAGTTAAATTAAGGCCCCTGGCTCCCATATCTATGCATCATCCCTGGTTTAACAAGTGTATGACTTCCCTGGTGGTTCAGTGGTTAAGAATCCACCTGCCAACACAAGGGACACAGTTCGAACCCTGGTGCGGGAAGATTCCAAGTGCTGCAGGGCAACTAAGCCTGTGTGCCACAGTTACTGAGCCCGCACCCTAGAGGCTGCATGCTGCAACTACTGAAGACCGTGTGCCCTAAGTAAAGCCTGTGCTCTGCAACAAGAGAAGGCACTGCACTGACAAGCCCATGTGCTGCCATTACAGAATAGCCCCCACTCACTGCAACCAGAGAAACCCCACAGGCAGTAGTGAAGAATTTTTGGTGCTCTGCCAAAAGTAAATAAAATTTTAAAAAAAAATTTAAAAAGGATGCCGTTAATATTAGGAGCAATGTCTCCTGAGGAATCAGGGAGTCATTTCTCAACGAGAGGTCCCTTCTATGCTGGTTGGATTCACGCTACCATAGCTCTCTCTTCAATAATGGCTAATGTTTATTAATTAATCACATATAACGTGTCAGGCACCACCCTAAGTGCTTTTGATTAACCCTCCCAACCACTCTGAATTTGGTACTAGGATCAGCCCCACTTTACAGATGAAGAAACTGAGTCACAGAGAAGCTTGGTGACTTGCACAAGGGTTGAAAGCTAGACGAGGTAGAACGAGGATCTGAACCCAAGCAGAGCAACTCCAGAAGGCATGCCTTTCATTCCCTTGTATTTGGGTTCCCTACAGAAGCCCGAGCCCAGACCTGTGTACATAACCCACGGCAACCCCCAGGGGCAGACCCAGAACACTGCTGTAAAGATGCCAACCCAGGTGAAGTGAAACTCCTGGTACATTTCAAAGCCTATGGATGCACTGACTCCAGTCTACTGCTCCCCTCCCCAAATGCCCAGGCCCTCCCCTCCCCACCACCACACACCGTGTGCTGTCACCTCTGTCAATGGCTTCCTCTGGGCTCAGCCTTCAGACTCCGGGTCCTGGGAATCTGCGGGAAGCGATCTCACAGAGTTCCAAGCTCTGGCAGGGTCCCCATGCGGCAGAGAAAATCTCTCAGCAGGTTCCCTTCTGTGATGGTCACGGAGTCCAGGGATGTGGGCTGGTGCAGTGCCCACAGAAAGTGAAAGTGAAAGGACGTAGGCATAGGAACCGAAGAGGAACTCCAGCGTCTGTCTACAAAACAGGGACCTTCCAGGAGACTCACAGGAGCAGACGCCAAGGGGCTTGGAAAGTCTGCCTTTTCCCTATTGGTTCTTTATGTGCCCAACTCCCTTCTTGGCCCAAGCAGAAGCCTGGGTTTTACTCATCCTGGCATCTCTAAGCCTGGCATAGAGCTGGGCCATGGGGAAGTACAGTGGGAATGTTCATGAATCAAAAAACCACTGAGGGAAGGGGTGGGGCTGGAACATTCTGTACCCGTCCTCATATGCCAGCCAAAGGAAGGGAAAGGAGAGATCGCGGCTCAGAATCCTGCCAACACGTAGGCTGGAATTCCTGTGCTGGCCAGATGAGGAAACTGAGGCAGCCAGGTGGCCCACGTGTCTGGCAGCTTCGGGAGCTGTGACTCCCCAGTGCGGAGGCCACTGTAAACCAGAAAGGAACACAGTTCTCTCCGGCCAAGCAGGCCTCCTCCCAGTGCCCAGTGCCAAGCAGAGGCGTCCAGAGGGCAGAAGTGGGGAGCGGGGAGGGGAGAGAATAAGACGGGATGGGACAAGCTCTGGGCTTGACGCTGGAGTGGTTCTCAGCTGTGAGAACACCAGCTCCATCACCACGCCTGCCCAGGTCCTCCAGAAACAGCCCAGAAATGGGGTCAGCACTTCACCTCAGACCCAATGCCTAGAAGACACATGTGCAGCCCGGAATTAAAGAAGCTGAAGAGTTCAGATGAGCTAGGACATTGCCTGCCCCGCTCAACCAGAGGAGGCCTAAAGACGAACAGCGACTGTCTCCTCTGCATCGGGAGAATCTGGATCACTCAACCCCCGACCCCCAAAGATCATTAGGCTTAGAGTGCATGCTCAGTCGCTTCAGTCATGTCCCACTCTGTGTGACCCTATAGACTGTAGCCCCCAGGCTCTTCAGTCCATGGCTTAGAGTAGGCATGGCCAAGTCCTCCACAGGCAGGCCTTAAGTGGCACAGGACTAGCAGGTCTTGATTTGCCCATAGACTCCATGTCTTTCCTGGGGAAACCCCCTGCAAGATGGGCAGAGGCCAGAGTTGGCCAAGCAGATGTGAAGAATTACGTAATTCTCAGCAGTTCTGGCACAAAGCCTTCGGCCTCTACCATGCCCTGCACAGAGAGACTCCACCAAGCCCAGTGATCTTCGACACACCCAGAAATATGCTCACCCACAAGGGGACGAGCTACAGCTAAGCCGGGGCCCTCCGCAAGCACTCCAAGTCTGGGTCAGCCGACAGATGCTTGAGGCACGCATATCAGACTTGTGATGTCAGGGTACCCAGAGAAGGAGGCAGGCCCTAGCCAGAAGGTTTGGCAGTCTGTCCTCCCACCAAGAGCTGGAAAGTCCCATCTCTGTCCTAGCCTTCTTCCAGAAACCTCAGAGCTGGGAGAATCTCCAAGAATCAATCTTGCCAGCACTCTGTGTCTAAGAAGGCATTGTCCTTTCTCATCCTAAACATCCAGGGCAAAAGACCTGGCCCGTTGCTGTCTTCACTAACCAGTACAGGAAGTTCCTCATCATGTCTAACCACAGTTTTTCCTGCTTCAGTTTAAACTGTGAATGATAGAAAACAGATGTCCACTCAACACCTATTTCATAAAAACTGTCCCTAAAATCCTACCTCTTGCCCCTTTATTCCCTGCCCAGACTTCCCTTCTTCAGACTAAATCAATCAGCCTCTCTCCATTACCTCTTCTTCTCCACTTCAGTTACTGCAAATTTGAGGTCATTATAGTCTTTTCTCAAGGAAGGTACAGTCTCTGCAAAGAAAGGGGCCCTTCCTTGCTGAAACAGAGGGTCAAATGGAAGGGGCAACCCACATGGGGCCTCCGCTTATCCCCAAGCCGAGGGCAAGCCCTGAGCCCTCCTTCCTTCCTGAGACACAGCCCGTCTGGTTTCTCTGGAGCCCTGAGCCATTTGATTTGCCTAAGTTCTGCAATCTCAGCCTGCTGGAGAGCTGCAGATAGGAAAGAGAGGGAGGCCCCAGAAGTTCAACTTCTGAGCTGTCCAGCTCTCATCAGGGGCCATGCCTCCCCCGGGACACTGGACCTATGGCCCCCCCACGTACTGCAGCATGCCCCATTCTTGCCCCCTTCACCAAGCTTCTCACCGGGAGAGCTGTTCTCAGCAGCACATGCACATAGTGTAATTTCTCCACCTAACCCCGTTTCTCTGCCCCCTTCGCAGCAGGACTACAGAGCTGCTGTCTGTACTGCTCTCCTCAAGTTCTCCCCTCCTGTCCCCTTTGGGCTGTAGCTGCTTTTGCCATGGTCACTGGTGACCTTCAGGTTGCTGGATTCTCAACGGTCACATGCTTGCTCTGCCAAAGGCATTCGTCATCATCACTCCCTCTCTTCTCCCTGAAGCATCTTCTGTGTTCCCTCCAGAAAACCCCTACTCTCTGATTTCTCCTCCCATCTCATTGGCTGTTCTTTTGTCTCCTTGGCTAATTCCTGAAGCTGTGAGCCAAAGAACTCCCTGGTGGGACCATTTTTCTCTGAATGACTCTCTCCCTAAGTGAGCTTGTGGCTTTAAATACCAGGTATCTGGTGATGATGCTCTAAATTTCATTTCCAGCTCCCCACTAAGTTTTTCCAGCTGCCTAATGGTATGTCCAATGGGCATCTCAAACTTCATAAGCACAGAACCAAACTCCAGATCTTCCCCCCTAAACAGGTCCCATTTCAGTCTATGAAAAAGAAAAGTGTTAGTCACTCAGTCGTGTCTGACTGACTCTTTGCGACCCCATGAACTATAGCCTGCCAGGTTCCTCTGTCCATGGAGTTCTCCAGGCAAGGATACTGGAGTGGGTAGCCATTCCCTTCTCCAGGGGATCTTCCTGACCCAGGGATTTAACCTGGGCCTCCCGCATTGTGTTTCCAGGGAAACCCTATTTCAGTCTATGCTCAGCCCCCAAACCTTCCAGCCACCTTAGACTCCTCCTTTCTCTCAAATCCCAAATTCTATTGCCCCCTACCTTCAAATATATCCCAAATCTGAAAGTCTGATATTTTTCAAAACTTTTCGGCCATGGGTACAAGCCCCCCATGGTCTCTCCCCAGAATGATAACAGTGGTCCCCTCAGTGGTCTCCCTACCTTTCTGCCTTCACCTCTCTACAGCCTCTCTCCTGCCCACAGCCAGATGAACCTGCGAATCCCTAAATCAGAGAAGGTGATGCTCTGCACAAAGACCTCCAGTGGTTCCCAGTGTACTCAGAGTGAAAACCAAAACCTTCAATGTGGCCTTCAAGACCCCACCCTATGGAAGGATCCCCACCTCCCCACCCCTTACCTCTCTGCATTCATTTCCTACTCACTTCACTGGCTCCTCACCTACCCTGCTCCAGCCACACTGACCTTGTTCCTAGAACAAGCCAGACCTGCTTCCACCTGTCATACTTCTGCCCCAGAGCCTTTGCACATGCTCTTCTTTCTGTGGGCCCACTGTCCTTTCCCCCAGTTATTCACATAGCTTCCCCCTCACCTCCTGTAAGGCTTTGCTCAGTTGTCACTCTCTCAGAGAGGCCCTCCCTGACTAAGCTGTATAAAACCACAATGCATGTGTGCTGAGTTGCGTCCGACTCTTTGCAACACTATGGGCTGTAGCCTGCCAGTTCCTCTGTCCATGGGATTCTCCAGACAAGAATACTGGAGTGGGCTGCCATGCCCTCCTCCAGGGGATCTTCCTGGAGACCCACGTCTCCTGCATTGGCAAGTGAGTTCTTTACCGCTGGCCCCATACCTCATTCCTCTTGCCTGCTTTCTTTCTATGGCTCTTCTTACTACCTGACATGTCATGTATTTACGTGTCATGTACATGTCATGTATTGACTGCTGTCCAACTCCTTTCCAGAAAATGAACCCCATGAGGGCAGGGAATTTTATCTGATGTTTTCTATGCTGTACCCCCAGTGTCTCATCCAGTGAACAGATCATGACTGTGTGAACGAATAAAAAAAAAAATGGATTTCCTCTGCATGGTTCTAGGAGGCAGAAGTAGAGCCAAGGGGTGGAATCTGCAAGCCACAGATTTTTGACTAAATGAAGCCAGAACTGCAGGACGCTGAACAGCGTTTCGTAAGTAATGAGCTCCTCAACACTGAGCATATGTAGTAGAGGGATCATGCAGTGGGTGGGAGGTTAGCAGGCTAGATGGGGTCCCTTCCAGCCTCAGATCTCAGAATGCTGACTGGTGAAGGGGATCTGAGCAACCAGTCAACTTAGGAGCAGTGATTAGGAGAGTGAAGCAACAGGAATGTCACTCTGGTCTTCACCAACGGGGTCTTCTCCCCTCTAGGGAACAAGGACCCTGTGCCCAGAGAACAGCCTGTGGGGAGATGGAGCCCACCACTGGGAGAAGCCCAAGAGCTCAAAAAAAGAGGGAGGGAAGCAAGAACAGACTGGGAGCCAAGGGTTCAGCTGGGGGAGCCATCCTGGAGGAGATGGAGGAGGCGTTTGAGTTTGTTGCAAAGCAAGGAGGACCAGATGGCTGTTCCTCAACAGGAGAAAATGAGAGGATGAACAGAACAAAAGATGTGGCGCTGGCAGGCCCAGTGTGGGTGGGTCTGGGCAGAGATAGGATTGGGGATGGGCAGGGGTCTCTACACCCACCAGTGGGGAGGTGGAGTTAGGAGACTCCCACGACAGTTACCAGGCCACAGGCAGGATTAGAGAGCATCCGGGCACTCTCATTTATACCCATCCACTCACAAGCAAGGTGAAATTGGGGAAACTGAGGGAGAGAGGAGGAGGCTAGACAGAAAATAGCTCCCGCTCAGAAACCTGAAGCCTGGCCGGCCGGCGCCTCACAACTTCATCGTGGACGTGGGCGTTCTCCATACACACAACTTCGACCCCCAAATCACACCTCTCTATAGAACTCAGAGGCTCCGGGAAGGAAGTTCCGCTCACGCCGCTGCCCCTCTCGCCTTCTCATGTTTGTAGTCACAGCCCGCCAGGAGGCTCCCCAACCTCCAGACGGCCGCTTTTCTTCTAGACCTCAAGACTCCCGAAGGGGAAACCGAGGCAGCTTCATCGCGAGCCTGGCGGCCTGGACGGCAGTCAGGTGTCCCAATCCCGGGAGCGGGACCCCGCGGCGCCCGCCGTCCCTTGCCCTGGGCTCGGGAGCACTCACCCCTGGCAACCGGGTTTCTCGGTGCAGCTTGAATCTCCACTCGCCCGCTCCGCACCGGCGAGACAAGGCTGCGCTGGCGTTCGGCCCCGCCCACCCTGGACACGCCCCTTCTCGACCACGCCCCCGACTTGCCCCGCCCGCTCTACCCGGCCAGCCCCACCGCTCCGGCCCTGTCCCCCACCTCCTGGGAGTCGAGAGCCAGAGGGACCCTGGGCGGCCTGAGCACATAGGGCACACACATACATAGGCAAAGATATACTATGAATTGAAAAGCTAGGTAAGCTGTTAGGGTCAGTATTACCTGCCCCCGCTTTGAGGGTCAGTAAGTCAATAGTCGTCTTGTTTTTGTTCAGTCGCTCAGTGGTGTCCAACTCTTTGCCACCCCTTGGACTGCAGCACGCCAGGCTTCCCTGACTTTCACCATCTCCCGGATCTTGCTCAAATTCATGTCCATCAAGTCGGTGATGCCATCCAACCATCTCATCCTCTGTCCTCCCCTTCTCCTCCTGCCTTCAATCTTTCCCAGCATCAGGGTCTTTATAATTAATGGAGTCTTCACATCAGGTGGCCAAAATATTGGAGTTTCAGCCTCAGCCTCAGTCCTTCCAGTGAATATTCAGGACTGATTTCCTTTAGGATGGACTGATTGGATCTCCTTGTTGTCCAAGGGACTCTCAAGAGTCTTCTCCAACACCACAGTTCAAAAGCATCAATACTTCGGCTCAGCCTTCTTTATGGTCCAATTCTCATATCCATACATGACCACTGGAAAAACCATAGCTTTGACTACATGGACCTTTATTGGCAAAGTAATGTCTCTGCTTTTTAATTTGCTGTCTAGGTTTGTCATAGCTTTTCTTCCAAGGAGCAAGTGTCTTTTAGTTTAATGGCTCCAGTCACTGTCCACAGTGATTTTGGAGCCCAAGAAAATAAAGTCTGTTTCCATTGTTTCCCCATCTATTTGCCATGAAGTGATGGGACCGGATGCCATGATCTTAGATTTCTGAATGTTGAGTTTTAAGCCAGCTTTTTCACTCTCCTCTTTCACCTTCATCAAGAGGCTCTTTAGTTCCTCTTTGCTTTCTGCACTAAGGGTGGTGTCATCTGCCCATCTGAGGTTTAGTCATCTAAAGCCTTCCTATTGTGAAGTCCCAGGACAGAGTTCTCTCAAGTATGATGGTTACATGTTAGGTAACAGTGAACAGGGCATTTAAACTTCCTCTTTTTACATTCTCCCAAGTTGAGGCAAACCATCTCAGTTTAGTAATAACAGGGCTTAAACACCTCTCTAACACTGCCTAGTCGAGTTGGCTCTGTGACATTACCTAACTAAAGTTTATCAGAACTCTTTTTTACATTAAATTTATTTTATTTTATGATTTCTTATTTCTGGAAGTAATTGCTGCTTTTTCATTGAATGTATTGCTTCACCCTGGTGGCTCAATGGCAAAGAACTTGCCTGGCAGTGAAGGAGATGTGGGTTCAATCCCTGGGTCAGGAAGATCCCTTAGAGAAGGAAATGACAACCCACTCCAGTATTCTTGCCAGAGAAATCTCATGGACAGAGTAGCCTGGCCAGCTACGGTCCATGGAGTCAGAAAAGAATTGGACATGACTTAGGGACTAAACAACAATAATAATTAGTATAAACGGTCCCTTTAAAACATTTGTACTTGGAAATTTTTAAATGTGAAGTCAATTTCAAGAGAAAACAAACTGACACTGACGTAGTGCTTTACAGACATTGAGTTAATCCTACCTATAGGATATTGGCTCAGTTCAGTTAAGTCGCTCGTGTCCAACTCTTTGTGACCCCATGGACTGCAGCACCCCGGGCTGTCCTGTCCATCACCAACTCCCAGAGTTTACTCAAATTCATGTCCATCGAGTCGGTGATGCATGCCATCCAACCATCTCATCCTCTGTCCTCCCCTTCTCCTCCTGCCTTCAATCTTTCCCAGCATGAGGGTCTTTTCCAGTGAGTTGGGTCTTCATACCAGGTAGCCAAAGTATTGGAGTTTCAGCTTCAGCATCAGTCCTTCCAGTGAATATTCAGGGCTGATTTCCTTTAGGATGGACTTGTTGGATGTCCTTGCTGTCCAAGGGACTCTCAAGAGTCTTCTCCAACACCACAGTTCAAAAGCATCAATTCTTCAGCACTCAGCTTTCTTTATAGTCCAACCCTCACATCCATACATGACTACTGGAAAAACCATAGCCTTGACTAGACGGACCTTTGTTGACAAAGTAATGTCTCTGCTTTTTAATATGCTGTCTAGGTTTTTCATAGCTTTTCTTTCAAGGAGCAAGTGTCTTTTAATTTCATGGCTGTAGTCACTATCTGCAGTGATTTTGGAGCCCAAGAAAATAGTCTGTCTCTGTTTCCACTGTTTCCCCATCTATTTGCCATGAAGTGATGTGACTGGATGCCATGATCTTAGTTTTCTGAATGTTGAGTTTTAAGCCAACCTTTTCACTCTCCTCTTTCACTTTCATCAAGGGGCTCTTTAGTTCTTCTTCACTTTCTGCCATAAGGGTGGTATCATCTGCATATCTGAGCTTATTGATATTTCTTCCAGCAATCTTGATTCCAGCTTGTGCTTCATCCAGCCCGGCATTTCACATGATGTAGGGTATTGGCTATCATTACTCTGATCTACAGAGGAAGAAACTGAGGCACAGAAGAGTTGATAAACCGATCCAAGTCCTGACAGCAGAACCCAGATTTGCTCCCAAATGTCTGACATCAAAGTTCATGCTCAAACCACCACCTCACTCTGCCTCCAGGTAAATACATACATGGGTGGTGCACAGTTGACTGAGTTAGAAGGACTGAATCTACCCCCAGGAAAACCCTTGCAGATGGTGTACAGATCCATCTACGAGGATGTTCAACGCTCAGTAGCTCAGTTGTGTCTGGCTCTGTGCAGCCCCTTCGACTGTAGCCCACCAGGGTCCTCTGTCCATGGGATTTTCCAGTAAAGAATACTGGAGTGGGTTGCCATTTCCTCCTCCAGAGGATCTTCCCGACCCATGGATTAAACATAAGTCTCCGTGTCTCTTGCATTGGCAAGTGGATCCTTTATCCCTGTGTCCCCTGGAAAACCCTATAAGGATGTTTGCCACCATCTTATCTGTAAGAGTCAAAACCCAGAAGCCTCCTAAATGCCCAGTTATAACAAAAAGTGACAGAGCAACTGAACCTGGAAAACTTACCTGATTTATCTTATCTCATATCCCATACCCATCCTGGGACCAAATTTGTCAATTTGACCTTCAAAACAAATCCAGAATGCAGCCACTTCTTACCATATCCACCGTGACCATTTGAGTCCAAATCACTGTCATTTTCACCTGGGTTATGGCAAGAATGCCCAGCCATTCCCCATGATTCCAACTAGTCTCTCTTCCATACCAGCCTTACACTGAACCCCAGTCTCCATTTAAGTCTGCTATTCCAAGCAGCCCACCCATCTGCCAGTGTCCAGACTTTTCTACAGTTAGGCCCAAATGAGGCACTAATGTCCTTACATTAATAGTTTGTCCTCACACCTGAGCTTTGCTCCTCTCTGCCCCAGTGGGAGGCAACAGGTTGAACAGCATAGACGCTGGACTCAAGCGAACCTGACTTTGAATCCCAACTCTATGCCCTTTGATCAGTTATTTAACGTTGGCCTCGGTTTCCCTTACAACTAAGTGGTACCCACACCCCAGTCCCCACCATGCTATGTCTCAGGATAACCATAGCAGTGCCCCCAGCCCACTCTGTCCGTGGCCTTAATTTAGAAACCCTGCAATATTAAGAACTTTTGAGATTTTGTAAAGGCTAACGTGTGTATACCTAGGTATGAAAAAAAAACAAGATTGACATGACCAGGTTTTTCATCACCTAGGAACCATCACCTCACCACTTTGGGTTTTCTTTGCCAAACATGTGAAGTTATGCCTGTGATGGATCAATTCCTATTGAATTTCTCAAAAGTGGTGTTGA